TGGTCTGCTGCAATAATGAGAAGAATAAAACAAAATCTGATTATTCTAAAAGATGTTCTCAGACTCTGGCGCGATATGGCAGCCTCGCTTCTGTCAGTCTGCTCCAGGGCAGCTGTGGCTAAAACTGTAGCTGCCTCCACCAGTGTGTGAATGTGAGAGTGAATGAATAGTGGAATTGTAAAGCGCTTTGAGGGGCCCGAAAAGTACTATATAAATGCAATCCATTATTATTATTATTATTATTATTATTATTATTATTATTATTATTATTATTACGCGCCCGGGAACCTACATCTGAAGTTGATCTGCGCGATCCGGGCTCGTCGCATCTGCACCGGCTGTAGCGAAATTCCATGACGAGGAAAAAAGTCACCAGTAGCAAACCTCTTCTCATCTTGTTGGTGTCGCCTGTGCAAAAACAATTAGTTTTATAAGGTGTTTTCGTAATGGAGAAATTCATTGCATTTTCATTAAGAAACCCACTGCGCACAAGGCACGATCCAATCGGTGCGTAAAAACGCACAATTCACTGTTCGCAAAGTTAGATCGAAGAGAAATGTTCAAAATCAGTAAATAACAGATTCATATTGATCAAAGACAGTAGTTTTACGCAGTGTTTCTTTCTGTTCCTTTACCAAAGAGTTAAAGCAAACCTTAAACTGTCTTCTTTCACAACAAGATAACAGTTTAAATGTTATTTTAAAGATCTTTTTTAAGCATTTTTTTAGCTTTTACCTGTCTTCTGTCGAGCAGATAATGCGGTTGGTAAGTCAGCTGAGTGCGCCCAAGTGCAAAGTAGAGTGGAATCGGCTAGATCCCGCTGTGAGAGCCAGTCAGGATAAATGAAGCGTCTGGGCTTTGGGGTAATAAATAATAGCTGGATACCTGCGTAACGCCAATCAGCAGCGTAGGTGGAGTACTCTTTTATCACGTTGCACTGAAGGCTACAGAGCCTACTCATTGATGGTGATGATGATGGTGATGATGATGATGATGATGAGAGCGTCTGTCCCCCCTCCCCTCCCCCCGCAACTCCTCACTGCACACAAAACACGCACACACCCTTTTAAAAAGAAAAAAAAAATAGAGAAAAGTTTAGGATTCGTGACGAGGATACATGTTTGTTTTCGTGGACTGAAGCACACCACTGAACATATTTGGAAAAAGATAAGGCTATATCTATAGAAGTCAGGATATAGAAGTCAATTAATCATTTTAATGGCTTTTAATTTTACATCAACATGGAATTTTTTTAGGAGACAGAATATAGAATATACCATATATAATTGATCTCTGCTGGTTTGAAAGGAAGACTTAAATATGTTTAATATCACTGGGTAGAAATATTATCAGCACAACCATTTTTAGAGCCTATACGCGGTGAGCTGAGCTCGGATAGACACATCTTCATACCAGTCCTGACACAATGAGTAACACGTTATTCAGACATCATTTGAAATTGTTTTCGAGCTTGCTAAAATCTCTGTTAAATGGTGTTCGACAGGTGGTGAGATGAAATGTCATCACCTGACAACCACTGAGGGACTTTTTATACATTTTTCGTGAGTGAATAGTATATACTGTCAGCATTCACAGAAATCCTGTTTAAACATGTTTAAACATGTTTTCACCAGCCTCTGAAAATGGCTCAAATTTAGTGCAAGTACCAAACCTATAATTTTTCTTGCAATTACACAAGCAATTAGACTTGTGTTGGTGTTTGTTTACGCCTTCAGAATGCAAACAAGCATAATTCTTCAGTAAAGCAAAGTTTGAGATTCAAACTGTGGTGCAGGCAAAGGCAAGTAATGCACATCAATTACTGTGGTCTGCAGATTTAGGACCGATGTGAGAGGGTGTGACACTGACAACGAAGCATTAAGACGGAATCCAAATTGTGCCTTTCACATGTTAAGAAATGGCTTCCCATTTCCATATTTGTCTTGTTCCTGTCTGTAATCGTGCGGGGATGGGTCAGGGTGGGGATTGCAGCGGTGCAGGGGTCCGGGATGGGAGATCCGTCAGAAGTGGGGAAGTCATTAATTGCGTTTTTGCATTATTGATGAGTGTTTCTTTCTTATCTCCCCTGGTAATCAAAGCAACCCAGTAACACAAGGAAAGAGTGCCAGTGGCTGTTTTTCCACAGCATGCAATTGCAGGGAAAGCCTCTCGTTTAATGACAAGGTGAGTAGATATATTGTATCGATTATGTTAGCCAACATTGACATCCTGCTACAGATGACATTACAGGCACACATCTTGCGTAGTGCTGAACAATAATGTCTTGTATCTTTCTGCTTTACAACATTTGGAAGTCATCCAATCCCGCCATCCTACTCAGTACCAAACCTGTTGAGCTGTCATTATGTGTGCACTTCCCTCAGAGCTGCAGACAGCTGGATAATCTCTAGTCCTGACAGGTCAGCTGGACCTTCACAGCTGGCTCAGTAACAGCAGGTAGACCATGGTGGCTATAGGTGAAGCAGTATATAAAAGAAAAGCAAAAACACAGACCAACACCATGATGAGGTCATTCTATGTGAATGAATTTGAAACTGTTTCCATGCATGCCAAATTTCTGTTTTTATTATAGTGACTAATCCTTTGGCCAACTAAATTCATTCCAATCTTTGCTTGCAGCAGTTAAGTGTTGTTAAAGTTTCAACCTCTCGTGTAATCATGTTCTTCTATATCTCACAGATATTTATCTGAGTATAAAGAGTGGCACATCCTTGTCCACCTAAAATATCCTCGGATTTCAACCTGTTTGATAATTAAAAAAGAAAAATTGCCAATTGATCCTGCTTTTTCTGCAATGCTTATTGAATTAACAGGCTGAATGGATAGAGGTAACCTTGCTGTGGAACCCATAGAAAAAGAGAACGAGAGAAGGAAAAATGTTTAAAACATGCGCAGACAGAGAAAGGATAATAATTTCCATGTGTGTGTTACTTTGTGTGGCTTTCTTTGGTTCAAATTTCCAACACGTTTGGCAGCTCAGTTTATTTGGAGGTCCACGTAAGGACACGAGGATAGAGATTCATACATCTGTGTAGCTGCGTACTTGGCAGAGGACATAGAGCGTGGAGTACAGTCGTAATCCTTTTGCTCGCCTTTCTCTTTAATGGAGCTGCCAATCATCTGTTTGTGGGAAGGAGGGAAGAGGTTCACAGTGACGCCACAGCCCTTATATGGGAGTGATGCTATGAAAAAATACAGGATCAGATGGGTACAGAGGAGCTTTTTGTGTGAGGCTGAGAAGAAGGAGTGAGACTGTAAGTGTGAGGAATTGCAGGGTGCACATTTAGCTACGACTGCGTGTATGCTGACCGGAGTCTCTGTCCATTGAGTCCAAAGGGTATTCTACAAGTGTGAACGCCTTCACACACTCAGCGGCGGTTCCTGCTGATCACTGTTGCTTGTGGCGACGTATAGACGAAAATAAGCAGATCTAGTCTCTTCTCCACGGTAGATCATAAGACACACCTGTCAGTAATTGAGTTAATAGGCTTTTAAATCAGTGGGTGATTTTAACTCGGACTCCACTTTATACATCTCCTTGAGGCGTGTAAAATGATTTTGATGCACTCACTCTTTCCTGATCTCTGACTCGCGAGGTCCTGAAGTGTCACTTCCATCTAAATGTTAATTTGAAGGCTGCTTCTTTAAAACTGACGTGGATGTTGATATGTCTTGAAATACTATTAGCATAAGACCGTACCGGGTATGTGAGATTGTGAGCCGCGGTGTCTCGAAACCAAAATCCTTTTTGTTTTTCTCAGTGTTTTCCAAAAGTGTTTTTCTGCTGTCTACTTGTCAACAGGTTTTTTCTCTTTGTCCTCTTTAATCTTCTTTCAGTGACGCTGGTTGGCACTGGCCTTCGGGAGAAAATAAGATGCTCTGGTGCTGTTGAGCCTCTTGAATCACTCTTTTTTAGATTGGTGAACTTTTCCTCCTGACTCAAAACAGTATTTTGTATTGATCATGGAGTGAGAATAGTCTCAAAGACACATTCGCATCCTGTTCATCACAGACACAATCGCCGTCTCTCACGTCTCATGCCTACCACCTTTTTTTTAGTTGATAAAATGTGTGACATCAGACGCTCTAGTTTTA